TAAATAATTAATGATCATTTTATTGGTTATATAGGAACTCTTAGTAGTATCCTATTACAGATATGAATTACATTGATTTGACATGCTATTTTAGTTCATGGTTAGTTAACCCAATATTTGAAGATAACAACTGCTAATGAAAATGATTAACTGCAGAGTAATTAGGAATCGAAAGGCGGTAGAATATAAAGTTTCCACACTGACTGAAGTTAAGATAATGAAACATTGAACTGATTGGTTTATGTGTATTGTCCTCACTTTGTTCAGTATGGCTTTACTAGTAGAGTGCTCTAGTCTTAATATTATTCAAGATTATAAACGTTCCTTTAAAGTTTGATGATAGATAATTTAAGTTAACTACTTACAAAATTGCAATCAAATTTTACCATCCTTCTGTCTCAGGTCTTTATGTGGAGTATAATTAATGACTAACCAGTTTGATTGTTACCATGGGGATTAATGTAAGTACTTTTGTAGATTTATATCATGAACTGACTTTACCTAGAAAACCATAAAACCTAAGTGTAAGTACATAGCTATTTCATCTTATTATAGGAATCTTTGGATGTGAACATCTCTAACGTCCACAGAAAGTGAAACAAACTGTTGAGAACTTTTATACTAGTTAAAATTAGATATACATTGAGAAATTCTTTATGTAATTGCCTAGTTAAAGTCATTGTAAGTCTTAAAATTGAGAATGGAGTAATTTGTACAAATTTTCCTCATTAACCAAATACACTTATTTAATTCCATTAGCTAATCTAAAAAATTTATTATTATTCTTTTCAAAAACCATAAAAAATTCTCTTAGTATTGTTTGTTTGGATCTTCCCAATGTTGTTTGGGACTGTAGTTGATCAGTCTCTTATTGGCATATGTGCATACTGTGTGTATTATCTCGATATAGCCTTAATTCACAAGTATTATAGGCAAAGATGGATAGTGACTGACGAGTCCTAAATAAGACGAAACGCAAGTCCTTGATTCCACTGCTAGCCACTATCCATCTTTGGTCATTAAAAATTCCATTTTTTATTTTTAATTAGTTTCACAATACATAGTAATTGTCATATATAATAATTATCAGAAGGGATTTTGTGGAGATTTAGTATTTTTCATAGTTGAAAGCGTTAGTCAATTGAAGCTAGACCACCATGGAAAACCTGGAAACACTGGACGGCCGTTTCGTCCTATTATGGGACTCCTCAGCAGTGCGCATCCACGAACCCGCTCTCGCGAGTTTCGAACCCAGGACGAAACGGCCATCTAGTGTTTCCAGGTTTTCCATGGTGGTTTAGCTTCAATTGACTCACGCTTTCAACTATGAAAAATATAATAATGTCATACTTTCATGAAATCTTTTACAAGTACATTAAACATAATATAGATAAATAAATAACTAAACAAATATCTAATAATAATTAAACAAACGATCAAAATTACATGTCCGTGCATTTAAAAGACAATTAGTAACTAAATAATGAACTAACTATCATTTATTTTTATTCTGCTAAACTATAAACGTTAGTTAACTAAACTTGTCGTCTACCTACTAATGTCAATGTAATTAGTGTTTTTTTTCTTTTAATAAATGAATTATTTATCATGTACACATAACCGTAGAAGAATTAACCCAGTTTAGAAAAACTAAACAAAAGAAGGAACTATTCACATTATGTTGTCTAAGGTCATTTGAAAACAAAATCTAATACTGAAGTAAAATCTACTAAATGAAGAAGATATTGTATATATTTATAGTGAAACAATCCTTTCTTTCTTCCTCTTAAGCTTAGATGACTAGTGACTAAATGATATTGATGATTGTCATAAACTCAAATGAACTGATTTTAGATACTGTTCAGCTAAAAGTTGTGTTTTTCTTTAGTAAACAGGATATAAATGTTTGGGAAATATTTGACACAATCAGTTGTGTAATTAATAATTGTTTAAAGCAAAATTCTGTGAGTTTCGCACAGAACATAATTGTTTATAAGAAGATAAGGTGTAGTACGCAAATTAGCTAACGAAAGTAGGATATTACAATTAGATTTTATTTCAGCCTACTATGTATAAACAAGAAATAATGTGCAATTGTTTAGTATTTTTAAGTTTACTTCATCAGTTAATAATTTAATTGATTATAAGCAAAGATGGATAGTGACTAGCAGTGGAATTCAGCACGCGCGTTTCGTCCTATTTGGGACTCGTCAGCTAGATGCACCTGCATCTGAATTGATGTTTACTCTGGGACTCGAACTCAGTACCTTTCGCTTCATTCGCCATCGCGTTATCCACTTAGCTAGGATGAAACGCGCGTTCTGGATTCCACTGCTAGCCACTATCAATCTTTGTTTATAATGCTTGTGAATTAAGACAATATCGAGGCAATACTCACAGTATGCAGATATGGCCAATAAGAGACTGACCAGTTGCAGTCCTAACCATCATTGGGAAGATTCAATTAAACAATACTGAGTGAATTCAATTGGTTGTTTGATAATTTTGATAGGTTAGAAATTTGATATGTATTTGGTAGTAATTCCACAAACTCTTCACAATGTAATCAAATAACGATAAACAAAATCAACAAAACTGAAAATAATTTAAACGTATGATAATAAACTGTGAAAACTGCATATCCAAGGTACACAACCTCGTTATCTTCCACTACCATAGACCACAATCTTACAGTTAGAAAAATTCTGACTATAGCGTTTAAACTGAGTCCTTCGAGATTTGAAATGGGCTTTGTTGTTGAATGCCAGGCAGTATTAAACCTAAGAATAGTAATAACTGGAATTTATTTCCATTTTTTATGGCATCAAAACTGTGGACATGATATGCAACCACATTATTGGTCATAATAAATATTAGAAGTGTGGTGTATGCTACTTATGTCTGTTGACATAAGTAGTATGTAACATCATTAGGAAGTGGAAAACCGGGCATCAGAAGGCTATGAAAGTGTATTTGAAGAAATCAGAAACGAAAATAGAAAGTAATTATAACTTCAAAGACTCATGTATAATTTGAAGGATAAATGAGAGAATTTTACAAATGATCTATTGAATATACGATCCTCATCATTTAGAAAGAGACTTTGTAATATTGTTTATAATTACAATTTTTTTTTATCCCCACCTATGTTCTCGTTTACAAAAGAAGCAATTAAAACTAGATAAACAGAATATTTCTCAAATAAAATAATAATTCCTATAAGTTTTCGAATAAGTCTGTTTAAATACTGACACACATAAATGTTCAAGTGGTAACTTTTATACAGAAACAAAAAAAAACTCTTAAGAACATCTTCTATGAATTGATGTAATTTATGGAAATATTCAAGAAGAACATTCACTTGAAAAAAAGATTGCACATGAACAGCGGTCGTTTGAAGTTTTCATGCATTAGAAATGATAAAAATAAAACTATTTAATAATTAGGCAATAATTCGTTTTATATTTTGATTATTACTTTGATCTAAATTGAATCTATCATAAATACTATTTAATTATTAGAATGAAACAATATAGGCTAATTATTAATTGTTTAAATATATTACTGCTAAGTAAATAATAAGTAGTACTTATATTGTAATCTTTTCTATTTACTTTACTTTTGTAGTATCATTATAGTTTATTAGTTACTTAATAACAGTTTTAGAAATTACCTATTTCATGACCATAGCAACCATTTTAAATGATTTCAAATTCTTTTTAATGTTACTATTTAAAGTGTTTAATGATAATTGACATTCTGAAATAAATTGTATAATATTGTAAATACACTTTTGATGGAGTTCTGATCTCTGAACTAGATGGTTTGGATCAAAACTTCATCGAAATCATCCAGCTGAGCTACAAATATTCTTCACCGTCTTTGTAAATACTTTAAAAACGATTTTATTTTTTGTTGTTGTTTATCATGATACATTTTTACGTATGAAGAAAATTGTTTAATAAATTTAATTAACTGAATTGTAAACTTCTTTTGATTTTCATGGATATTCAAGGTTAATATTAAGTAGTAGATTCAGAAAAAAAGAAAAAAAACTGATGTAGTTAAATATAAGCTACTAGTAACACATAAGTTATATAAAGGTTTTAGTAATATAAATAGTGCAATTAGAGATAGTTTCATTATATGATTGTTTAAAAGTATGATAGAAATGAGTGTTTTTTCTTCTATAATTTATGAAAACGGATAAAGGGGGTAGATGTATGTAAACAAATTTTATTTAAAACATTATTTTTTATACTAGATCAGGTGGAATAATATAAATTCCAGGAATAAAACATAAAAACATACAAAAAAATCACTGTACTACAAATGGTGTGAAAAATTTGACCAAATGAAACATTAATTACTTACTTACTCTTATTACGCCCAATGGAACATAGACCACCGACCAGCATTCTCCGACCCACTCTGTCCTCAGCGTTCCCTTCTAGTTCTAACCAACTTTTGTTCATTCTTCTCATGTCTGTCTCCACTTCTCGGCATAGTGTGTTCTGTGGTCTTCCTCTTCTCCTTTGGCCTTCATGACTCCATGTAATGGCTTGTCCTTTGATGCAGTTAGGTGATTTCCTCAATGTGTGTCCTATCCATGCACACTGCTAAGGAGTCCCACAATAGGACGAAACAGCCGTCCAATGCTTCCAGGTTCTCAGTGGTGGTCTAGCTTCAATCGACTCATGATCTCATCTATATAAAATTACTAATAATATTAACCAATGGAAAGTACGTTAAGAGAAAGCCAACCTTTGGTAATCTCATCTAGGATCACATAGTTATATTATAGGGAGAACAGTTCTGAAATAACTCTTCATATAACTTGTCCTTATAAAGATTTCTTATTCTTTTAATACAGTGTACAACATAAGATTCTTTACTGTTGATCATTATTTAAGTAGTATATTTAAATTATTTATAAATATTATTGTTTTTAATTGATAAAATTAATTCACCCATACCTATATGTTTTTCTTTTTGTCAAGATCTATATACAAATGATATCATTGTAACACATTTACAAATTGGTTATCAATATACGTATAAATGGAAAATTATTCATGAAATATATAATTCCTATCAACTCACTAATGAAAAAATTAATGATAATAATAAAATAAATAATCAAATTTATATTATAGAAGGATTAGCAAAGATTATTAGTGGACCAAATTGTGATATGAGATTATCTGTAAGTGATTGTATACAAGCTTTTTTCTTTTCTTAAATGTATAAACTGCATTTTGTAATTGTTTTGAATTCTTAAGGCATTAATGAATAGATTGGTTTATACATATAATAAATGGAACCAATCAATAGAATTAGTTATCTCTAATCAGTCAGTCAGTCAGCTACAACGTAGGACCAGGCACATTTATGCATCGGTTCAAGTTGCCATACCTCGTTAGCATAACAAGATGAACACCGGATTCATAGTAGTTAATTTAGTGGTGGTGGTATATAAAAGATAGGTTGTATATAAGGATATAGTATAGGAAGGAAGAACGTTATGGAGCAATTTTAATCTCAAGGTTTAAAGGAAGATAAAGAGTGTATACACCTACGCCATTGTGATCGATTCTGAGCTATGTCAGCCAGAGTCCCCAACCATTGGTTACGATAGTCACACAGACACGAAACAATTAGTCTGCATCTGCCAACATGGCTCAGACTAGAAGTTAGTGACTTCAAGCATTGATGCCATGTTTTGGTTTGACCACCCCTAACTCTCTTCCAAACATCCCCAATACTAGTCATCATAGAGCGTCATGGAAATCGGTGTTCAGGCATACGTAACACGTGGCCCAACCATCTCAGTCGATGAAGATTCGTCACCTCATCAATTGAGTTACCATCATTCTTTAATACCCTGTGTCTAACCTCACTATTACTTACCCGGTGATCCCAGCATATGTGAGCAATATTTCTAAGGCATCTGTGGTCAAATACTAGTAGCCTACGAATATCTTCTACTCTTAATGGCCATGTTTCACAGCCGTACTGTAGAACAGAAGGAACTGCTGCGCAGTATACTTATCCCTAATTGACAGACGGATATCTCGTTTTCAACATGGGTGACGTAAGTTGGCAAAAGCCAAATGAGCTTTTCGAATCCGTGCTGAGATTTTGTCAGACACCAACCCATTAGGGCTGATCAGACTTCCAAGATAAGTGGAGTTCTCGACGCACTTGACTATTTCACTAAGTTATAATGCTTCTAACATTCCAGAAGAAAATGATATGAATAATCTGTAAGAACGTTTTAGTTGTTTTCAAAGTTTCTTTTGTTATGACTATTGAAACTAAAGTACATGATTTACTTCATTAAATTTTATTGAATAATATATATGCAGATACAAGAGATAATATATTATGATGGCAGAAGTAATTTCTGATAGACTTTAATGTGAAATTATATCAGATTTCTTTTGACTTGAATTGATGAAACAAGACTGTTGGTTAATGAAATAAAACGAAGTGTTTTTTTTAATACTTCTCTAAAAGTTGAGATTAGGGGCATCAAGCACTTGGTTACCATGGCAATGATTGCGTTTGTGATAGCATTTAAAATAAAGAGCAGTTTTAAACCACTGCAACCATTGATTGAATAGTTGTCAAAAAAACTATATTTATTTAGTCTTAGAACTCTACAAAATACCATTGAGATAAAACACATTCAAATTAGTGAGTCTCATTTTATTGTTTCTTTTTTTCAACCCTTTATCATTTAATTTCTTCTGTATTAATTTTTTTAAAGGCATTTTGTTTTTGTTTCATACTATGTTTATATTTGAATTGATGACTTTCTATACTGACGCCACGAAAAAGTTTTATTTTAAAATGTTGGATGTTATGACAACTTTTTAAGACAATGGCGGTTTCCTGCAGAAGTGATCATCATTTTAGGTAGTTCTCCAAGTCGTGTATATATATGTATATGAAAAAAATATTTTTACACGTAAAGTGTACTTATTAAAAACTAACAATAAACACCCCTTTTCAAATTTATATATGCTGATAGTTATCGGAAGATCGCATTTTACTGAAACAATAATATACACAGTTTTTCAGAACTGACATTTTAGTGAAATGATAAATTTTGAAATGAACCATTATTTCGTCTTGTAACGTTATTTGTCTGTACTTATTCATTCTATTCTATTGATGATGATGATAATCATTTATTTTATATGTATAATTATAAATCGTTTTTCAGCTTCATCATGTAGAAGAACCTGGAGAAATTCAAACAACTAGAAACTTATCGTATCATGAAAAGTATCCGATAAAATTCTGTCTTAGTAATGGCAGACTTTTATCATTTGAATATTTATCGCAAGATGAAATATCTTCTGTCAGAATCAAAAAAGCTTTATTATTTCAATTGCAAATGTCTTCACAAACATATGGACAACAATTTTACACTGTTGAAGTAAGTATGGTCTATATAATAGGCATAAAACAAACATTGTTAAACATCTCATTGCATTAACTTCATTTGGATACGGCGGTCAATTGAAAAAATCCCAAATAGTTTAAGTTCGCACTTCATTTAGAGTTGTCATTATATAATTTTGATTATTCGAACTGGATATGATGAATGAACCCAAGTTAACATATATGTGCACCTAAAGTATTAGAAATACTAATATATTACAAGGAATTATAGTAAAATAAAAATAGAATAATATTTGACACTCAACTAAAGTAAACTTTGCAAATGAACATGTAAACGAGATAATGACAGTTGTAGGTTTAGAAGAGGAAAAAGATTTTCATTATGAATGCATATCTATATATATTCATTAAATACCCATTACATTTGACTATAGTTTGCTTCTTAATTTAAAAGAAAATACATGAAAACAACTTCACCGTCATTAATATAATTCGTGATGTAATAGTAATACTTGTGTGGATTGTGTAGGAAGTACTAATAAAAGCGAAGTTTAGTTTGATGAATTGATTACAGTAATAACAACAGTATACTTAGTAGTATTGTAATAAACAGAACACTGGTTGGGGACAATCGAATGTATTTAAGCAAAGATTACAGACTATCTCAGTAAATTCTGATTACCAAACAATGAACAGTCAATTTGCAAATGAACAACAATTTGTTTCAATCTTCACTGTTTCTTCTCTTATTCCATTGCTCATGCATTTTCCAAACGATTGCGCTTCATTTAAGTTCTTTGCTCATCGGTCTTTTGCGAAAATACATTCTATGTCTGACCCACGCCATATACTACTTATATAGATATAAGTAGACAACACCACACTCGTCCCCCCTTTAAAGCATTCGTTCATGCGGTGGTTCTGCTCGCCACGCCGCTATCTTCTTCCACTGCAGTCTGTGCCAAACTCTCCGTCAGAATGTCGAGTCTGCGGCGCGCTGACCTCCATAGCTCCGTCGACCTGCCGGGGCACCAACATCCGCACCCACCCGGCACCTGGGACGTTCAACACCCATACTCCACCGGCCTGCTGAGCCATCTACATCCGATGTCCAACCAGCAGCCGCACGTCCCACTGCTCCTCTCCGTCGACAGCACCTGCTACAGCCAACGCCGCCCCGCCAGAACACTCCACTCGACGCCACCTCTCTGCACCAGACTGCCCCAACTAGCACCTCAACTCCAGACCCGCATCGGCGTCCACAGAACAGCACCCTTCCTCCTCCTGGTTGGCAGCGACACCAAATGTAATAAACAGAACACTGGTTGGGGACAATCGAATGTATTTAAGCAAAGATTACAGACTATCTCAGTAAATTCTGATTACCAAACAATGAACAGTCAATTTGCAAATGAACAACAATTTGTTTCAATCTTCACTGTTTCTTCTCTTATTCCATTGCTCATGCATTTTCCAAACGATTGCGCTTCATTTAAGTTCTTTGCTCATCGGTCTTTTGCGAAAATACATTCTATGTCTGACCCACGCCATATACTACTTATATAGATATAAGTAGACAACACCACAGTATTAGTGTGGTGAGTGTTTTTGATGTCGACAGACATAAGTGGTATTTATCACCAATCGGAAGTGGAATGACTGATAGTAGAACGTTCAGTAAATTGAGGAGAAGAGAACGACAACAGAGAGTGATTGGTATGGAAACGAAGGAACAACAAAATCTGAGACAACTGATGGATGTTTTACAAATGAAGCAATTACTGTATGGTTCTCATATGTTACTAAGAGATTTTGTAATGTTGTATTAAAATGCGTTTTGGTTGTCCTCATCTGTGTTTTCGTTCACCACAGCAGTAGCATTTATATAAGCAATAAATATCATATGATGAAATAGAAAGAGAATTTAAACATTCTAAAATAATTATCAAAGTTTTCTAATTGTAAAGACTTGCATATATCGATTTGTAAAACAATTCTAAAACCTCTCTGATTAAATATAAGATAATCATATGCTAAGTGATTAATGAATACAACGAATAGAGTTGTTGACTTAAACTGGTTATCATATCTGACATTCAAGAAACAATTTGAAACGTATTTAAAAGGATGATAAGTGGATATAAATTGTTTAGCTTCCTTTTTTGACTTTATATCCATCATTATTAATACTAAGCTCTTCTTTATTTATATTGATCATATGATCTATATCATAATTTACTTACTTACTTACGCCTGTTACTCCCAATGGAGCATAGGCCGCCGACCAACATTCTTCAACCCACTCTGTCCTGAGCCTTCCTTTCTAGTTCTATCCAATTTTTGTTCATTCTTCTCATATCTGTCTCTATTTCTCAACGTAATGTGTTCTTTGGTCTTCCTCTTCTCCTTTGACCTTCAGGATTCCACGTAAGGGCTTGTCTTGTGACGCAATTAGATGATTTCCTCAAGGTGTGCCCAATCCACTTCCATCGCTTCTTCCTGATTTCTTCCTCCACTGGATGGAATCTGGTTTGTTGTCTCCCACAGTAAATTATTGCTGATAGTATCTGGCCATCTGATCCGAAGTATCTTGCGTAGACAGTTGTTAATAAACACTTGTATCTTCTGGATAATGGCTTTCGTAGTTCTCCACGTCTCCGCCCCATACAGTAGAACTGTCTTGACATTTGTATTGAAAATTCTAACCTTAGTGTTGATTGACAATTGTTTTGAGTTCCAGATGTTTTTCAGTTGTATCATAATTTGCTAATCATTAAAAATACAATGTTCTATTAGTTTAATACTGTTTCTATGCTTCACTAAAAAATATAAATATTTAATACATGAAGATTAGGTTCAAAACAAAACAGTAATTTACAATAATGAAATAACACTCTACGAGTACATACATTACGTAATAATTATATAATGACAAATCGATTTATAAACTAACATTAATTAATTGAAAGAGAGAGGATTAATACTAATCAAAGTTATTATTCGAAAGCTGTTGCTACGTTGCATAATATGCAAAAGTAAGACAAGGAACTAACAAAATATTTTAATGAATGGTCAGTAATATAATAGTTATATAAAAATCAAGAAACGAATATAGAGAATAAGTAAAATACAAAAATATAAAAAAATGGAAGGAATAAAATAATTATTTACCAAAGTTCTGCTACAAACTTTGCTAAACCAATGGCCATTAATTAACTTTTTCTTTTTTGAATAAAGAAAATAAACAAAAACAAAAACAACAAAACACTTTTTATAACAATTTAAAAATTTACAAAATATTTTCAGAAAAAAAATTCAATTGTTTCAATGTTCAATTATTAAAAGAAAAAAATATTTTTATCAAGAGAATTAATTCATTATCATATTTTGACATAATTAATTTTTAAAAATTCTCAAAAATTTATTAAAATTTAATTATTATTTTAAAAAAATTATTATTAACTATGATTTAATTAAAACAATTTTTCTAAGATTTTATGAACACGAATGAAATTTTATTAATTTTAATAGTTAATATCATGAGTCAATTAAAGCTAGACCACCATAGAAAACTTGGAAGCACTGAGCAGCCGTTTCGTCCTATTGTGGGACTCCTCAGAAGTGTGCATCCATGATCCCGCCTCACGAGGTTTGAACCCAGGACATATCGGTCTCGCGAGCAAGCTCCTAATATCTAGACAACTGAACCGATATCCACTAGTATTATTGTCTAACTTCAACCAATCCACGAAATTGTGCCACCGTCTACCATTGACTAACTGCTTATACGACAGACATGGTTGAACTCTATTGGTCACGGCATCTAGGAGTTCGAGTGAGAAGCCGTGACCAGTGGAACTCATCAGTGTCAAATGTGAGGCAGCAGCTCACCGAAAATTTATTTATTTAAACACATATATATTAGTACAAAAGGGCACCAGGTACATATGCGCCACACAAAATAATGAAATTAGGAAGAGAAGGGATGAAAAGATAAGGCGGACTGAAATGTACAACCAGAAGACTCTTTCAGTTAGGAAAGTTAGAACCATTCTTTATGTAGAAAGTAAAAGAAGGTTGCAGCAGGATCGCCACTGGCTCACCGAAGAAAATGGAGGACGGTCACTAAATATTGTGGATTGGTTGAAGTTAGACATTAACACCGTTGGAAGCCGACTCAGTGGACTACAGGTCAGGCGTCCTCGTGCGAGTCTGATAGGTCCTAGGTTTTTTAGTTTCGCGAGGCAGGATCGTGGATACACACTTTTGAGGAGTTCAGCAATAGGATAAAAAGGCCGTCAAGTGCTTCCAGGTTTATCATAGTGGTCTAGCTTCAATTGACTCATCATCTGAACTATTAGAAATTTAATTAGTTAATTAATTATAGTAACCCCAGTAACATTCAGAATTGCATAGAATATTATAATTTATCACTGATAATAATTACTCGTAGCATTTGTCACTTTTTCTATTATTTATTTATATTTCAGCTTATTTTTATTGATCACTAACGATTGTGAATAAATTTTATGACATTCAATGATAATAAAATGCATTTCATTTCTTCCGGTAATTAAACAATGATAAATATTAAATAAATTGTTGTATACATTTCCAATCGAATTTATTATTTAAACTGTATTCTATTTGATGATATACTTTAAGTTAAATTGAATAGATAAAATTTATTATTTCATTAGTATGTTACTATGATAGTAACAGATACAATCATTTAACCTATAATATTATTTTTTTTCAAAAAAAGCATTAAAAATAGAATACAATCAAAACATTTGATTAATCTGAAAATGTTCCATGTTATAAATTCAAAAAGTTGACTACTTACTTACGCCTGTTACTCCCAATGGAGCATAGGCCGCCGACCAGCATTCTCCAACCCACTCTGTCCTGGGCCTTCCTTTCTTGTTCTATCCAATTTTTGTTCATTCTTCTCATATCTGTCTCTATTTCTCAACGTAATGTGTTCTTCGGTCTGCCTCTTCTCCTTTGACCTTCAGGATTCCACGTAAGGGCTTGTCTTGTGACGCAATTAGATGATTTCCTCAATATGTGTCCTATATACTTCCATCGCTTCTTCCTGATTTCTTCCTCCACTGGATGGAATCTGGTTTGTTGTCTCCCACAGTAACTTATTGCTGATAGTGTCTGGCCAACGTATCCTAAGTATTTTGCATAGACAACTGTTAATAAACACTTGTATCTTCTGGATAATGGCTTTCGTAGTTCTCCACGTCTCCGCCCCATACAGTAGAACTGTCTTGACATTTGTATTGAAAATTCTAACCTTAGTGTTGATTGACAATTGTTTTGAGTTCCAGGTATCATTCAGTTGTAAGTATGCTGCTCTTGCTTTGCCGATCCGCGCCCTGACATCTGCATCAGATCCACCGTTCATCGATGATGCTGCCCAGATATGCAAAGGTTTTCACATCCTCCGAAGCTTCTCCGTCAAGTGTAATTCGATTGGTGCATCCTGTATTGTATCTGAGAGTGTTGCTTTCCCCTTTGTTTATATTGAGACCTACTGCTGCTGAAAGAAGTTGACAGGAAATTTTTATTTTTTATAATGAATTCGAAACTTATAATTCATCCTACTTTGGGTTTTTTTAAGTTATGACAAATATGTATTCCAAAAAAAATCATTTAATTTTAAGACAGAAAACTCAGCAACAGGTTTCTGAGTTTGTTGTTCAAACTTTAACATATTTATAAATAAATAAAATAATAAAATCAGTAGGAAAATTAGATTTTCTGACGTTTCGTGACTCGGTGTAAGCCACTTCTTCAGGGAATAAACATATTTAGTTTCAGCATATTATAATGAAGTCATATGGGATATACAAGTTCTGTTTTTTTATTAAATTTTATTTTACTTCTTATTATTGTAGCTTAATTTTGAATATCAGATAAAGCGGTAGGCGTCATTGATGACGTTGGCTGATATACCTGATGACTTCGGAAAAAACAACAACTGACATTTACTTCATAAAATATCTATTGATTTACAGTGATTGTTTTTATTCATACTCTATAGTACCATTAACCTTCTCATTACCCTGAATAAAATATGTATGCTTAGAGATAATGAGCTTATTTATGGTAGAGTATATTTTTCAAAAACAAACAAACAATATCAGTTTAATCCATAGGGACATCGCCTTTCTGATGAATGATAAGGTTGAAAACAATTTTTTTGTTTTGTTACCTACTGAATAAGTACAAATCGTTTAATTTGGAAATATTTTAAGTTAAACATTGATTTATATATATATATATATATATATATATATAATCGATTTCATCACTTGATAAGAGTATGATTGATTGTTGGGAAAACTTTAACAGGAATTACTATAATCCAATTAAATAACAATATAGGAAAACTTTAAATAATGGTTTTTAGAAAGTAAGTAATCTGTGATATGTGCATTCAACCTAATAAACAGTACACCTTAAATTTGTAGATGACACCAATTAAGAATAAGATCATCTAACAAATCCACTTGACATCGAAGCAGCACACACAGACCTCAATAAAGATGTAACTCTATCAAAGATCAAAGAAATAAGCAGGGGCATCAAACAACTCAAGAGTGAGAAAGCAGCAGGACCTGACAATATATCAGTTGAAGTATTGAAGTTAGCTAGGGAAGTAACTGCGAACATGCTTCACGTTCTATTCAGGAAGATTTGGGAGAAGGGACAAGTATCGATAGACTAGAAGGAAGGATACCTCATCAAGGTATTAAAAAAGGAGAGCTGAGAAAATGTGAAAACTACAGAGACATTACACTACTATTAGAACTAGGAAAGGTTTTCAACAGTTTTTCTGAACCAGATGAAAGATTTAGTGGATGTTCAACGTAGAGATCAACGGAACGTATTCCGTAAGGATCGTGTGCACACATAAACTTCGTTGACCATGAGAAAGCGTTTTAGAGTGTGGATAAGAGAACATTATTGAGCCTTCTTCAACACTATGGTATACCTGAGAAAATTGTCAACATTACACAGAATTCATACATCGGACAACACTGCTAAGTCGTGGATGGAAGACAGCTGACAGACGCATTTCAAGAAAGGACTGAAGTTAGACAAGGCTACCTACTCTTGCTGTTTCTCTTTGTTTTGGTGGTTGACTGAATTATGAAGACCTTTACGTATGAGGGTAAGTACGGAATACAATGAACAGGTTGCATACAGTTGGACAACTTGAACTTCACAGATGGTCTAGTTCTTCTATACCATACGGAAGATCAAATGCAGATGAAGACAACTTGTGCAGCAACAGTCTCTACATAGACAAGAGGAAAAGCAACATCCCCAAATACAACACATTAATAAAACCAACCAATTCAGAAGCTGTGGAAGAGGTGGGGAGTTTTACGTACCTGAACAGCATTATGAACGAGCAAGGAGCATCTGATACTAATGCAAAGGCAAGGTCAGTATTCCTACAACTGAACTGAAGGAGATGTAGTATTGAATGAGATAAATCTAAAATAATCACAGCTTATTCATAATAAATTCAGATGGCGCAAGTTAGTCACAGTACTATCATTTGATTTTGCTCATTTTGTACATATTGGGTGTTTATTACTCATCGTTTGAACTGCCAACACAGAAGAATACTGTATTAGCATAAAGAAAATATTCGTAATTACTTATCACTGAATGTTATTCAGTTTTATTTCTGTCAAATAGTTATTCAGCAACTGACTGAATTGTGTAATTTTCCTATACAAAAGGTGAATTGTTATTCGACAATTTCTGTGGAATCGCGAACCAATTTCTTTGAGATCGTAGACTGACCTTACAGACAAATGTGAACTAGTACGAAATCTAAGTACAACGCTTTACATCTCTTGTCGCCAGGCGTGGTTGTACACAAAAGCAATCATTCATCTTGCTAGAATAAAATAATCTCGTTCAGTTAATAGATATTTACATTATTCTATGGGCTAATTTAAGTTGTCATTTTGGACGCATAATATCTTCCATCACAGACTAAAACGATTCATCTTGAAATACCTAATTTTATTTCACACCAGTTTTCCTTAAATTTGAGTAATAAAATATGCTTCGTTTTACGAGGTAAATACATACATAGTTTCAACATTGTGATTGTTCTTTAAAAATATGAATGATGGCACTGAAATATTGGTTTTAGAAATATGCAAGTCTCCCACAAGTGATACAAACAAATTTTCAAGGGAAAAATACAAATACAAAACAAGAAATTCTATTATATGTTATCATCTAGCTATCTAGTCAGCGAACTTTCAGTCCATTTGAAGCATCCCTTCCTAAAAAAACAGTTACTGACCAAGGATATCACCCGATGTAACGTGAGTGGAAGTATCTTGAACACTTTGATGATGGTTGATATTTCAGTTTCACAGTTAGAACTTAAATGTCGAGTTTTACTGAACATTGGACAAAGCATAAATGAGTATTTGAATAAATAAAGGAAGTAGTGTGATTTTTCTATGGTAACTAGTGTATCAACTACCTTGATACAGAGTTTTTTTTTCGCAAACAGGAGAGTATAGAAAAATAATTGTTGAGAAAAATTTTCACTAGTAGCTAATGCCAAGTGAAGATTCAGTTAAAAACTTGACGGAATTAGATAACTGTATATTTTCAATATGTTGTGAAAATATTTTTAAAATATACGGATATACTTACATGACTGTTTTAATTAATAATATACCTTGCTATTAGATTCTGTGTATCCATCTATATAATCTTGAAAGTTTGTTCGGGTGTATGAATGTTACCGACGAAGATAAATTTGGACAGAATTTCCTAACATTTTTATTATATTTGGTGTGTACCTTTTTAATTTCTCGTTAGAATGATATGCTAAATGCAAAAATAGATAAACAGTTTATTTTTAATGCTAAAATATATACTCTTTTGTTAAAAAAAAGTCTCACGAAACTAAATCTATTTAGTTATGTCATTTTCTAAATTGACTTAATCAATAAGTATATTCGTATAGTCCGAAAGCTAAATTGCTTTGTAAATTACATACATTTAAGTTTAATGATAGCTATTTTTGGAGTGATTATTGATTTTTATAATTTTCAATAATATTACTAGAAATACCCTTGGAAACTAAAAAAAACACTAGACAATTTTTTCTTCCCAGTATGATGTTCCTGAGCAGTATGTAAGCCCAACTCTACCAGAGGTTGAAGTTAGTTGCATGATATCGTTAGTCGATTGACGTTGGGAATGTAAGTTGCTGAATACCGGCTCAGTGTTCTAAAGACTCAGCGATCACCATGAAGATTAAAGAGTCCGGGTTCGATCCGTAGAGACAGGATTGTGAATGTTTACTACTGAGCAGTCCCATGCTCCCATGCGAACAAGTATTTATATTTGGTAATAATGGAATTATTGACCAGTTTTAAAATTACCAAGTGTTTTTGAAGAAAAAATATCTATCACAAATCTGTTTTACTTGAGACTCGTCAGCTGGATGTACTTTTAGAATTGATGTTCAGTCTGGGACTCGGACTCAGTACTGTTTGCTTCAAACGCCATCGCGTTAACCACTTAGCTACTGAGTCCTGATAGCCATTTGCTTGTGCAATGGGGTGAAGTTTTAAATTCAGTTAGTATTGTTTGTTTGAATCCTCCCATTGATGTTTAGGACTGCAACTGGTCATTCTTTTATTGGCCATATCTGCATACTGTGCGTAATGCCTCGATATAGCCTTCATTCACAAGAGACTAATCAATTGCAGTCCTAAACGTCAATGGGAAGATTCAGTCAAACAATACCAAGTGAATTTAAAGACAATATAGTTCCTTTATTGATAAATAAAGATAATCTATTCGCTTCATGGTTGTTTGAAGTCATTTACTAGTAGAATAATATTCAAAAATATTTAAATCATTATTTTTAATTACAGTTCTCATAAAAATATATACGCATGTATAATCAACTGTTTTTATTAGATAGATCACTTAGGTTCATGTCAAACAGAATATGTTCTTAAAACTGTCAATTTACATACGGTGACTATGATCAAGAAACGAAATTCAATGTTCTGTAATGATGAATATCAACCATTTTTCATAAAAGATAATTCAAAACTAAATGATCAACAGTTCACAGTAAGTTTATAATTTTAAAACAAATAATAAAAATCTTTACTAGTATGATTAATTATAAATGTATTGTTGAGTTCAACCAGGTCTGTTGTGAGACATCAACTAACTGAAGTTATTGGTGAATGGTTGCTCAACTTAGTGGATTGGTTGAAGTTAGACATTAACACCGTCGGAAGCCTTTTCAGTGGTCTAGAGGTTAAGCGCTCGCGCGCGAGACCGATAGGTCCTGGGTCTGAATCTCGATAGGCAGGATCGTGGATGCGCACTTCTGAGGAGTCCCACAAGGAGACGAAACGGCCGTCCAGTGCTTCCAGGTTTTCCTTGGTGGTCTAGCCTTAATTGACTCATGATTTTAACTATATAAGTAAAATTTGTTTATTTATTAGATATATCAATAGTGCGAGGGCCAATTTATTGTTTATAACGTATGAAGAATAACAGCTGTTATGAAATTTTAATGGTTAAAAAATTAATTATCATCAACAGTTGTTTTTAGGATTGTTTTTGTTAAAAGTAACAACCAAATCAGATTTTTCAAAACAGAACAACTTCCTATGTTATGCATCCATTTCAAGAATGATAAAAAGGTGTTAAAACACTTGCAAGTATGAGTAAAGATTTAAAATTCAAATCTTCATGTTTCAAAACTCTTTAAAAATGCATCAATTTCGGATAAGAAGTTAGATACAAACCATTATTATAGACTATAAGCAAAGACAGATAGTGGCTAGCAGTGAAATCCAGGACCCTCGTTTAGTCCTATTTGGAACTCGTCAGCTGGATATACCTGCATCTCGAAGTTGATGTTCACTCTGGGACTCGAACCCAGTACCTTTCGCTTCAAACGCCATTGCGTTATCCACTCAGCTACTGAGTCCTCATAGCCATTTGCTTGTGCAATGAGGTGAAGTTTGATGTTTGATGTTTAGGATTGCAACTGGTCAGTCTCTTATTGGCATATGTGTATACTTCTTGCACTCTTTTATGGCTGATATTTGAATCTAATTTTTGTCATTCTGATAGATATTCTCTGTCAAATGATTTCACGATTTTTCAAAATTTGTTTTCTTTGTAAAGTTGCCAAGTTGGCTGTTTCTAATATCAAGTATAATTAAGGGGGTTTACAATAATTCTTACAACAAACATGGTAATCCATGTCTTATTAATTATATTTTGTAGATAAATAATCGACCTTTATATTTACAAAGTGATTTAATATGTGAATTAACACATAAACTAAATGGACCAATAACAAATGTCAACTGTCAAGAAACTTCAATTACTCAACAACAATGGTTTCCATCGTTTTCTATAAACACTTTAACTCTTAATGTAAATATGCAAATAAATCTTACTGGAGAAACTGAATACAATGATGAATTTATAGAGTGTAAGTTGAACCCTTGTTTTCTACTAAACATTGTATACTTCCTGGTATCTTTTATGACCGATATTTCGGCTTGTTCAGAAGCCGATGAGCTTAACATATCAACCGACAATACAAGATCAGTTGAAACGTTTACCATTTAAAACCTCGCATTCAATGCTGCTGGATTCGTTAGAAGGAAATCGAAATAAATATACATATATTCTGTTACGTAACAGGTAGTAAATTTTCTTAAAAGGATGTAAAGTACGATTATACTCATTATTTTGTCATTTCTAAGTGGACAAAAGATTTTCCTAAAAATATGTTTCAAATGAATAAACAACCGTGGAAAAACATTTATAGATGATTACTTGAAGTGACAGTATGCCTGACCTGAAACTTTATTTGTTATCAGTAACAATTATAACTGTTACAGGTGATATGGAATAATAAAAGACGAATGTCACCCAAGTTATACAACTGTATTTATAACGGTTTCATAAACTGTGCTTTTAAAAAAATAGAAAATGGGATTTCATACCAAAGTAATGGAAAACTTTAAACGTCAAAAGCGGGTTTAAGTAAAGAGAAATGATAAGATTGAATGAAATTCTGAAATGATAACCGTGCTCTGGATGAGTATAAGAAAGGTGAGGAAGAATTTGACAAAACTTGAAAGTATTTATAACAAGTAATTAAAAAGAAAATGACTTTGAATATTCAAAATTTCGATAATTGTTTTCTCAAAGACTCTAGTGTGTTCTTATGATAGATACCAATCGGTTAAAACGTAGTAACCAGTGTCGTCTTGACCAGTCTCTAGTGTTGGTCAAATGTATCAGTCATCTGAATAACTCCACAATTTAATGCATTTTATGTGTTGAGATCCTATTCACTATAATATGTTTATTCAGGGATTCATGGAGATTTTTTTCAACAATCAGACATTAAATAAAATAAAAATGATGTGTTGGCTATATTTTTACTTTTAGTCGAGAGCGCTAAGGAATAGAGCACATAGATTTTGTAATCATTGACATAAATGAAACAGTTTTATGGAACATTATTCACTAGCTGTAAAGCACAACAATCACGACAATGATTGATTCGGATTCCGCAAAGATCTGATATAAATTTGATGACGAAATTATCCAATCGATGACTATACTTTCATTAAATTTGAAACATAAGTTATATTCTAAACCTTCTGACTTTTTGTAATCAAAGATGGATAGTTCGACAGCAGTGGAATCCAGGATGCGCGTCTCGTCCTATTTAGGACTCGTCAGCTGGATGTACCTACATTTCAGAGTTGATGACGCGGGTGATAACGCGTGGATAACGCGATGGTGTTTAAAGCGAATGGTATTGAGTTCGAGTCCCAGAGTGAACATCAACTTCGAGATGCATGCACATCCAGCTGACAAGTCCGAAGTAGGAAAAAACGCGCGTCCTGGATTTCACTGCTAGCCACTATCCATCTTTGCTTACAATTTAAGAAATTATTTCCTGTTTAAAAGAAATTAAATTTACTAACGTAATTCATATCATTTATTTGACTAGTTTATCAAATTATAGTCTATAGCGTTGAATAACTGTCACATTCATTTTCATGCTGAGATTTGTTTTCATTTCATATCTGGTAAAGAATTTTACAAATAATAATTTATCTAATGTGAATTACTTTTGTTTCTAAGTGACATGCATTTCTTGTTGCTATGATAAGCTATTTTTCAAAAAAAAAATTGATTAACAAATTTTAGTCCTATATAAAGTAGAATAATGTAAATGTTGATAGGACTATTTACTTAATGAAAATTAACACAACTTGAAATGAGGTTAGATGAACGAAGCAAACATCTTTGATAATGTTAACATGAATAAATTTTAATAGAACTAACATATTCATGCGGAATTATACTTACTTCTCAATACTTGTTGAAAGTGAAAATTGTGATATTGTTGTCCAAAGCAATTAGTCCCTTTGATAAATTTCCATAGTGTAATAAGAAGACGAAGATTATCAGAATTATGTGATATATTGGCGCAATGCATTTTGAACAATACGATCACAAGTAATATACATGTTAAGAATATTTATATATAAAAACAAAAGGTTAACTAGACTAGAAATAAAGGGTAAAAGGAGACAAGCATAATGGAGAAATAATTTGATAACAATTTCTTACCTCATCACTCTGAATAATAAGCTGATATTACCAAATTGGATTAAAGGTGAGAAGAAACTGTTTCTGAAAACACAAAGAAGGTTTGAATTTTCGTATGGCTAAGGCCTTAATAAACCTTATTTTACGCCCTAGTACACATTTGTACAACATCACAGAAACCAAGTTAAGATCAATCTTATGGTCTGTTTTTATTGTGTGTTTGGCAATAGATTGATGTTAACTCAGCTTTTGTGGTGTTGCAAAAAAGTGTAAAAGCGCCTATACCAAGGCTTATTGAAGCCTTACCAATACGAAATCTCACACCTTCTTTGTGTATTCATAAACAGGTTGTCCTCATTTTAAACTCCTCAGCAGTGTGCATTCACGATTCCGTCCATAAGATTTGAACCCAAGGCCTATCGAACTTGCGCGCGAACGTTTAACCTCTAGACTACTAAGCCGGCATCCAACAAATACTAGCTTATTATTCAAAGTGATGAGGTTTTAAATTGTTTTCACACCATTTTCATTATTATCCATATCTCCTCTTAACCTCCATTTCTAGTCTAGTTGATCTTGTATTTTAATATAGAGGTGCTCTTAAAATGTATGTTACTTGTGATCAGATTGTTTGAAATGCAATTCTTTAATGGATTATATAGTTCTGATAATCTTCTTCATCTTATTACACTTATGAAATTTATCAAAGGAACTTATTGCTTTAAATTTTCAAGAGTTCTTATAAAATACCTTATTTACTATAATTATCAATTTGATTAGTAAATCAATCGGCTAATATCTGTTGTTTGACGTTAACAGTATTCTGTAGTTCACTAAAAATGAGTAGTATATTAAGATATACTTCATTTGAAATTTTTTCTATTTCGTTTACCATGTTTCATGTTTAAACATTTATCATATTTTATTACCAACTGGTATTATTTAAAATTTGATAATAAACTTTCTTAGTATTAAAGAATATGTATAAAGTAAATCCAAATACAAAGGCTAACTCATAGAATAAGGTTACATTAAGAAAACAGACTGTTTTTGAAAAAGAATAAACTTAACGCTATATATATATTAGTTGTCATTTACTTGTTTGTAGACATTGTGGTTTTTGAAAAAGCTACCTTCAAAACATAATTTTATACAAGTTTTTATTTAATTCGTTTAAGTTAATTATCTAGGTGTGTTTAAAAATATTATTACTTACTTACTTACTTACTTTCGCCTGTTACTCCCAATGGAGCATAGGCCGCCGACCAGCATTCTCCAACCCACTCTGTCCTGAGCCTTCTTTTCTAGTTCTATCCAGTTCTTGTTCATTCTTCTCATGTCTGTCTCTATTTCTCGACGTAATGTGTTCTTTGGTCTTCCTCTTCTCCGTTGACCTTCAGGATTCCATGTGTGGGCTTGCCTTGTGACGCAATTAGATGATTTCCTCAAGGTGTGCCCAATCCACTTCCATCGCTTCTTCCTGATTTCTTCCTCCACTGGATGGAATCTGGTTTGTTGTTTCCCACAGTAAATTATTGCTGATAGTGTCTGGTCATCGGATCCGAAGTATTTTGCATAGACAGCTGTTGATGAACACTTGTATCTTCTGGATAATGGCTTTCGTAGTTCTCCACGTCTCCGCCCCATACAGTAAAAATATTATTACCTAATCTTAATCATCACATGATATTTAATGTATCCATAGGTAGTTCATTATATACAAAAAAATTGACTAAATGCCTTCAGATTGACTATCTAATGGTAACATCGCAAAAATCAATTATTCACAATAGATTATCGTTTTAACATTGATATTCATAATGTCATATATGTGTAATTGCTTTATGTTGATATTGTAATAAGCAGAAAATAGATTGAGTGATTGTATATGATGAAACTTTATTGTTTACACTAACAATATCCCATAATACATTAGACTTCTTATTTACGCAGTTATAGTAACATTGAATATACCTGAATTTTATGCTTCTATTTAGTCGGCTATCAGTTCATTCTTATAATCAGTTCTTCTTTTCCAATCTACAATAGAGAATAAAATTATAAGTAGACGTTAACAAAATGTCTGGTTCATTCCCCCCTTTTTTGTTGCCTCATTCATGTATCCAATTAACTATTATAAAAACTCATTTCTTGTAAAATATAAACAAAGAAAAACCCCTATCTCATTTATAGTTTATTTATCCATATTTTTCCTGCATTATATACGTCAGAGTTCTAATTGTTTTCTTTTTTTAAAAAGAAATTTCTCAAATAAATTGTGCGATTCTTGCACGCGAATAAAAATGTATCTAACAGCTTAGATCTTTTCATTATCCTTAAGAAACTAAATCTACATTAAATTCACTTAGTATTGTTTGTTTGAATCATCCCACTGATGTTTAGGACTGCAACTGGTCAGTCTCTTATTACCGTATGTACATACTGTACGTATTGCCTTGATCTAGCTTTAGTGCACAAGTATTATAAGCGAAGACGGATAGTGGCTAGCAGTGGAATCCAGAATGCGCGTTTCGGCCTAGCTAAGTGGATAACGCAATGGCGTTTGAAGCAAAAGGTACTGGGTTCGAGTCCCAGAGTAAACATCAACTCTTAGATGCAGGTACATCCAGCTGACGATTCCTAAAATAGGACGAAACGCGTGTGCTGGATTTCACTGCTAGTCACTATCCATCGTTGCTTATAAATTTACATTAGTCTCCTTTTTGTAATCTGTCAAATACAATTACGTTTTTATATTTACAAAAACCAAGACGATTAGAAATGATAATCAAATCAGTAGTGAAGTAGATAAACAGAATCTATACACTGATGACATGAAAGTCTTTGAAATAATTCTGTAACATTTTGATCTTTCTTTACAGATTCATGATAAGAGATCATTAAACATTTCAATCATTATGAAAAATATGAAACTACTTACACGAATCACTTATGATTCTTCTTTTTTTCAAAATATGTGATCAATGAATACAATCTGTTAATGTTTTATCATAACCATAGTTTTCAGTGTGATGATAAAAAGATTAAGATGTCATAAACTTGAATGGCTTAGAGGAATAATGTATTCCCAACAAAATTTAACCATTCCGCCAGATCATAGAGTACTGTTTATTAGAAATCTAGAATTTCAGTTTCAGTTAATTCGCTAGGTAAGCAGTAAAGACCACCATCTTGTACTCATTAGAAAACCTTGAAATTTGAAACTAATTTTTAGCTGGTCAGAATGCAGGTCATAGAATTAATAATTAAATTTAGGATTTTGAATTATAGTTTAGGGTCAGGAGTAAAGGTTTAATGTAAACGTTACGGTTGGAGTGTAAAAATATATTGTAACTGCTCAATGGAATACTTATCCGCACAATTAATTAAACAGGAATATATGAATCAACTTTAAGAGGTGTTAAAGACATCTAGAGGATATAGGTAAATGTCTCGAAGGAAGTAAATATTTTACTGGAAATGTAGAAGAATACTTAATTGTTCTTTATGTTAGTTATTTCTGAAAATTTGGTAATTGATCTAAAATATCAGAAGCTTCTAGGATAGTTTAAAATACATGTTTCCTATTCTTTAATAGCTTCATGTTTAAGAGTTTCAATCATTGTTGTCACTATATATTAGTAAGCTCTACTTAAAGTTTAGTTAAATTTAAGCTATCCATCAGTGGGTGTTGTTCTTGGAAAAACCCTCAACAGCAGTTATTTAATTTCTGATTGTTCTGTCAGCTGAATATCAAACTAATTCTTTTCCACATAACAGAGCTTGTTTCAAACGTATAATCATCTTTCCAAAAAAACATCCAACAATTCATGTATCTTTTGAATCGTTTTCCACTGTATTACATTTCGACAATTTCAAAGAACTACAAACCTATTATTACTTGATAGGTTCACGCTTTAACATACTAATCTTAATTACTTGTAGTGAATTTCACTTTATCTCGTTAAAATGTAAAAAGTTAGACATGTAATTCAAAAGTTTACTCTGAAAGTAAATTAAAGTTTAATGACAGTGTAAATTAACTGAAATTAATGTTGTGAAAATTTGAATGAGTAAACAATAATTTGAGTATCAGAAGGGGTTTTGTGAAGATTTAGTTCACTGTTTCCAAGTTTTCCATGATGGTCTAGCTTCAATTGACTCACGAAAAATAATTTAAGTGATAAAACAAGTTTTTGGAAAAAGATTGTTTGGTTTTCAATCTTGAAATTGGTCACATTGAAGACATTTTGTAGAAATTTCATGATAGTCAACTTCTGAAGAGTCCAACGCTAGGACGAATGAAGTGTCCATGTTCTCTCTTTTTTTAAATACTAATAGAGATTAAACAGTGATAGATATCCCTTTCAAACTGAAAATATCTTATTTTCCTAACAGTTGATACTTAAAATAACAAATAGGGGAAATAATATCATTTGAAACAAGGGTTTACTGTTTTCAGCTGCATTTTTCGCTACCTCAATGTGAAGAGTTGAACTGAATAAACGTAGGGGAAGTTAAAACTTCTATCAATACATTATTGAATGTTATCAAAGCAAAATGTAGTATCCACTATTTCTAACGATGAAAAAACAAGTATAGATCTGAATATTGAAAATAATAAATATATTAAAGATATATGCGGCTGTTGTTAAACGTTTTCAAATGAATTTTCATGAACGAAATATTAAGTCATAGAATTCTATAAGTTGATTTCGTGTTCGAATGCTATATTTCAGTATTGTTCATGTTTATATATGAATGTAATACGAGGGTTATTTGGGGAGATTTTTAATAATTTTTATGAATAGTTGAAATCATGAGTCCATTGAAGCTAGACCACCATGGAAAACCTGGAAGCACTGGATGGCCGTTTCGTCCTATTGTGGACTCCTCACCACGACCCCACCTCGCGAGATAAACTCATTGAAGACATTGTTGAATGGCTGCTCAACTTCGTGGATTGGTTGGAGTTAGACATTAACACCGTTGGATGCCAGTCGGCTAAGTGGTCTATCGGTTAAGTGCTCGCGCGCGAGACTGATAGGTCCAGGGTTCGAATCTCGTGAGGCGGGATCGTGAATGCGCTTTTCTGAGGAGTCCCACAATAAGACGAAACGGCCGTTTAGTGCTTCCAGGTTTTGGATGGTGGTCTAGCTTCAAATGACTCATGATTTCAACCATATATGAGTGTATTAGTTTATCAAGTTAGTATGTTACTAAACATAGATACAACTTGAATAGATCAATAGAGAAATTTACAATTACAAGTTTATACATTTAGAAAAACAATTAAAATCAGTTTTCAGGTAGAATACAACACAAAGTACATCAGTTTTTAGAAGGAAAATATAAAAAATCATCAAAGGTAAGCTTAAATACTCTAGTATTTCAGTAGATTAATAATAGATCATAGTAGTATTTTTGTAAGATATTTTTCCTACAACTTATTAAAATAATTAGGGTGATTATTTGTTGATGATATAAACTTTTTTATATGAATCGTTTTAGTACGCATACTAGATTCGTTTACTTAGATAAAATTTTGTAAAATCTTTACTTAATTTATAAAGATGGACCAACAAAATAAATGTGTTGAGCTTAAATAGTGGGTAACAGGGGAATCCAAGACACATGTATCTCCATGTTTTAAAATCGTCAGCTGAATGTATTTGAGTTACTAACATCATTTGTTTCCAAGTAATACAGGACATATCCAGACAAACACTGGCCTATGCAACGGAGTAATTCTTTGTTTGAACTTTGTCGTTACAATTAATCAGTCTCTCTTGACATATGTACATCCTGTGAGGATTGGGATGGTATTGCCAATACGCCTGAAGTATTTTTAGACTGAGTGTGACTGCATCTATCAATATCGGGGAAATATGCTAAGGTTGTTTGTATTTCGAAAGGAGACTGATCATCATTCACAGTCTTAAATATCAATAGGAAAATTCAAATAACTAAAAAATTAAGGTGAACGTGTTACACATTAAATGAAGAAGAATTACTGATTGATATCCGAAGCTTTAAAATCATAGAGACTACCAGTACATCTGTATATAAAAATTTAAAAAAAACACACAGATCAAAGATTTTATGAACCTAATTTTGAACAATTGATCATTTCAAAACGAGACTTTATTTGATCACAGAGAAAACTTCACTAATGAAACAACGTTGGTATGTGTTAAATGATCTATTTCACAGTAAATGTCGAACCGTAATCATGTGTGAATTTTTTAGCGATTAACTGATGAATAATTAATTATACAAGCTATGAACAAACGTGTGTGATGTGTGCCACTTATATTGACATAAGTAGTATATAACGCTAGTCAGGAATAGAATGTCTGGCAGATGAAAGTTAAGAAGATCGAAGAAAGGAGAACGAGAACAGTGAATTATTGATATGGAAATGAGGGAATAACAAATTCTGAGACAATTGACTAATATTTTGCAAATCAATTATTTACTGTATGATTCTCAGATTTTACTAACAGATTCTGTAATTTCGTGTTCAAATACATTCGATTGTCCCCACTTGTGTTCTCGTCTACTACACATGTTCATAATGAACTCATCGGTTGAGAAGTTAAACTTTACCATTATAGTAAATGTTTATATCTTAATTTTGTAGTTGATGGAATATCCAAAATGGATTTTGAATTTCCTGACAAAAATCAGAATCAAACAGTGATAGTTAACAATTTTCTTATAGAAAATAATTTTACAAATCATAATTATATTAATATGATAATGAATTCACCTGAGAAATTCAGTTATTTCATTGAACAATTGAAGTGTTTAACTTATGAACAATGGAAAATAGTATATAATTCATGGGAAGAAAATATTCAAACAAATGAAATTAGGTGAGTACATTTCCATGTTCATACAAATAAATAAATATTTAAATGTAGTAAAAATTCTCATCCAGATGCTTGATAAAACAGACAAAATAAACGAAGAAATAGGTAATAGTTGAATGTATGAGTAGATTAAAGCTAGACCACCACAGAAAACCTGGAAGCACTGAACTGCTGGGGAGTGAACACGTACGATCCTAATCGCGGGACTGGAATCAAGGACCCTCAGTATTGCACGCGAACGTCTAACCTCTAGATCTCTGAGCTAGCATTCAACAGTGTTGGTGTCTAACTTCAACCTATTCAAGAAATATTTGTTTTCAATTCGTTTTTTTTAAATTATAATAGTATAATTTAAATTTTGACCTCGTTTTTTTTGTTTTTTGATAAACATGTTTAAAGTATAACATAAGTTGATACTTCTTGATTACTTTATTCAACAGTTCATCCCATTTATTTGTTCCTGTTCATATGTTTTTGTTCTTCCAATACAATATATATTTCTTAGGTATTTACAATTGACCTGGTTACGTACTACTATTATGACGATAAAATCGTTAAAAGAACATACTATGTAGCGTTTAGTTGTTTTGTCACAATAAATAATTAACTAACATGTGAATTACAAACAGGGATAACATATATCGTGTTACCTATTTGAAGTAAAACTGAGTGATAAGGTGAAGTCAATGCCATGAAGTAAATTAGTAAATGAAAAATCTAATATTGGTAGTACTATTCACTAATCAACACTAGTTTAACGATCACAAAAAAGGCATAGAAACAAATAAAATAGGTGTGATTCTTAACAAACTAGTTTTTGCAATACATATTAACAATATAGTTACAAGAATCATGGCACATATATTCTATTACATTCAATGGTCAATATAGTTTACATATATAATGTAAAAACTTTATCTGTCAAAATTGTCTTCAGAAATTTAAAATTTTTATCGCAACAAGAACGTCAACTAAATGAGACTTTAGAAAATTAAAATTCACTTCTAATAATACAATTAAGATTAAATGTTCCTAGTTTAGTTCAACTGTAGGATACATCAGTGTTTAATAAAAAAGAATATTGAGATTTATAGTTTGTTTGAAACAAACGTGATAGTCAGAATGAAGTTGTATGTTACTAACTGAACGAAATCGAGATGTCTGATGTATATTAATCTTTAAAATTTATTTGGAGACAATACTTTTATTTCATTTGATGGATTTCGAAACTAAAAAGGATGTAATGTTAGTTAAATGTTGAAGTGTTATATTATTATTACTATTAGTAGTAGTAGTATTAAACCATGGACACATATATCGTTTAGACTAGTCATTTTCGAAGTATATTGATAAAATGGTGGATCAGTTTATTTCATTCTCTAGATAACAGTGTTTTAATGATAAAGTATTCAAGGTAAAAGACTATTAATTTCATACTAATACTATGCCTAAACCATTCTGTCTTATCAATAATTCTTTTACGTTATACTTCTCTTTGAATTGTAATTCATGAGACCGTTCAAATAGAAAACTTATTAGAAGAATATACATTGTGTTCTACATGGGTACAGAATACAGGGTCAATACATTTTTATTTATGTGAATTACTCCTGGTTTATTTTACAGAAATTTTCTTGAAAACGTAATTTTGGAGGTTCAAACTGAATCATCGATCATCTTTATCATAAATCATTTTATTGTTAATGCCAAAAATGAATATAAACAACTTAAATGGATTAATCATCTTAGTATAATGAAGAAACCAACCATTGAGATGATGAAAGAGATCAAGGTAAAATTTACTTGTTTGTTAATTCCAAAGTAAATTGTATTAAAATAGTCTAAACAAATACTTTTAAACAACAAACACATTTCAGTTATCATAATCATGTTGGAAGATCTCTGTGTGCTATGGTGAAAGATGATGCACTGATGAACCATTCTAAAATGATTATGCATTAATTATGCTTAATTATAGGGACTGAATAAGTATTGGCTTTTGGTAAATAGTAAACTAAAATGTATCAGCGGAAAATGATTTTTTGAGAGAAGCTCTTTGATATTCTTCAAAAACCAAGTGACTCAAGAGATTAGAACTTGTCTGGAAACAAAAAGATTGTCAAAACGACTAGGTTACGATAAGTATTAACATTCATAATCATTTAGCTAACGCAAGTTTTCAGACATCGTCAGAATAATAGTAATATTAAATGTAGAGGACGTGGGATACATTATTCAAAAAGTACATTTTTCACACGTATTACAGAAGTAAAAAGCATTAGCCGGGAACTTTTAAACCTTTTTAAGTGGATATCTAGTCGTTGTATGAACGGTACATTAAAGGTCATTTTTTGCTCCACAACGAATTGATAAGGAAAATAAAGCGAAAACTAAGATCACGCAACAAAAAAGTGATAACTGCCATGATAGGTCAGTCAGTCAGTTAGGTCAATCATAATATATGTGTCAGGTTATTATGATAAACTGTTCGTGTTAAATATTCTTCAAATTAGTTAAGTTTGCTAGGTACAGTGTAAGTGTAATGTAACGGAAGGCAGAGAGGTTTGCTTAGTTGATTCAGTAATAAAAGCGATCAAAAATTTGACGTTCGTTTAATCTATCTTGTGGAATGAAATATACTTACAAATGTGAGCACATTTAAGTCATTTTCAGGGAAGAAATAAGCATCGATACAGCGAACAAAGGCTGGGAGTTATTTTATTTCACGTACAAATAGCACGTAATTATTACAGAGTTTGGAAAATTTACTGGTAAAGAAATTCATATGGAGAGATTTAGGGGTTTCAGATGTTATAATTAGGAGTTTCTGAGTATTAAATTAGTTCATTGGATGTAAAAGACAGTTTATTAAGAATTTTGAAGAAATAGCGTGAATATAATCTGAGTCTCCTCTTTTATAAAGGGTTGAGTCCAGGTTTATTACATCTGGATTTATAATTTAAGATACAATCACTCCCAAGAATGCGAAGTGTAAATCGTCTCTGAAAAAATTCCAAAATTAATTTATTCTTTGTGCGAAAAGTACTGATAATAAACGTACGGTATTATAGGATTGGTCAAACACATACTTTTTACACTAAAATACATGACTCGTTGTTATAGAAGTTAGGAATTGCGCAACTCAGAGGACGTCGAGACTTAAAAGTCTGTGTCGAGACCTATTCTTAGAACGACATATTTTAGGAATACCTGAGTCCTAGGTTCACTTCTGTACATTACTTAGATAATAATTCGCCATCTAATTCGAGTGATGTATTACCGAAGCACATCCATTCTCATTTAGCCCTTTTAAGTACCAACTACATTTTTAACACCACTGGGTTATTTTGTTGAGCTCCCTGCTAATGTAATTTCGCATAATGTTCAGTTATTGAGGAGAAAATGAATACACCACTTTAAGATCATTCCCGTATAGAAGAGGCTTGCTCACTCAGAAGCACTTGCAAGTAACATTCATATAAACTAAAACGAGCTGAAGACCTAAGACACTGCATTGTATTACACTACTTTTGACCGAGACAACATTTGAAATACAGGTGTCTATTTTGACTATTTTGTGTCAGTGACTGGGAAATAAATTAAACTAAGCAAGCAGAGGGTTTTCGACTCCACAAGATGCGAGTTTGCTGATGAGAAGCTGGTGGTTAACCTTATCAAAAGCTTTATAATTGTAAAAGTATAGCACCAAAACTTAATTTCTTCGGTGACGTTGAGTCAAAGCGGCAGGTTATACAAGATCGATTTTTGAGGAAGCCATGTGCAGAGTCAGTGATAAGTTTTCCAGTGACTAAATATTTGATAAGTTCGTAATTAACAATTTTTTCCAAAATCCTAGAGACAAGTGGAGCAATATTTATGGGTCAATAATCGTTCACGTCAGTGTTACCCCCAGAATTGTAACTTGATATGATATATATGATATTCTTACAGTAAGAGTAAGTTCCTGTCTTCAGAGAGAATAGCTTTAGAAGAAGTGATGGAATATCAGATGTACCTGTTCGTAGAGAACGGATGATATATCACACACTACATTACAGTTTGAAACCTTAAGTGAGGTTGTAGCTTTAATTTTTATGTAGATTTTATTGAGTTACTAGTCATATACATGACTTTGAAATAGTGCCATTTAAGAATTCACTGTTTTTAGCAAAAATACCACTGAAAACGTTTGCAATAGTTCTAGAGTTGTTTATAAAAGTACCCTCATGCAACCTGCATGATGTATCCGCATTTCGAGCTGCTCTAATACCTTTTATTGAATAGGTGAATTAAGTTTTGCAGATATTAGCTATTATCAAGTGCTTACAGGTCCTCATTATTGACTTTTTAACCTATCCGTTTCTTTAATTTGGTTGAAAATTATAGTTGTTTGTGCAACTACTGCGAAATTATTTGAATTAAAGTAACGTTTCTCCAGATGTCCTAGTTTTTTTACAATATTAACTGGTACAAATAATCCACTAGGCTTAATAAACCTGTAAGTTTTAGGAGGTGTACAGGAATTTGAACAAGAGTTAGTGATAAGACAGAATGTGTCAATGGAATCCACCGAACTATTACTTGGGCAGAAGGAATTCAAGCCTGAGAATCTTATTAGAGAGTTTAGGACGTCCTAATCAGCATATTTATAAACTCTATATTAACCTGTTTATTGTATGGGTTGGTTATAAGAGAGACAGATATGGAGGGAACTAATTAGAAATTTATGGTAACTGCCTTCAATCACACTATATACTTGTATAGATAGTGGCATGATTTATTTACAGAATAATGGACCACTTATTAAAATTCGACTATATTTAACCATCACTTTCATTATAAGAAGTTCAAATAGTAAGCACGTAATCAGTACCAAAGCACGAAGTTGTATGTCGCTCTCATTCAGTAAAAACCAGTTTGCTACAACGCAAATGAACTCACTTATCATTTTCTTAATCCCAAAAATTAGTTTCTTGAATTTATTCTCTAAACTTATCTAAATAACTCAAACAATTTCTGTACGTTTGTTGAACAACATAACTTCTTGAGCCAGTAATTTTATTGAAGCACAGATTGCTTTGGAATATAGTGTAAACGTGTATCTCCGATAATTATAACTACATAATACGATTTCAACTTATAGTTAATATCATTATTTGACTTTAATAGAAGTAAACCCTAGTCGTCCAATATACAACTATATATATATGGCACTGGACGGCCATTTCATCGTATTGTGGAACTCCTCAGCTGTGCGCATCCACTCTCCCGCCTTGCGCGCGAACGCCTAAACTCTAGACCACTGGATGATATTAATCAACATATACTAACTGGTGACTGGCTTCAAGAGGTATTTCTTGGAGTTTTAGTGAGAAGCAGTAAACAGTGGAGTTCATCCACGTCTGCTGTGAGATAGTAACTTAATGAAGACAATGATATGTCGCTCGATTTCGTAGATTAGTTGGAGTTATTCATTAGCACCGTTTGATGCCGACCGGCTCAGTGATCTAGAAATTAGGCGTTCTCGCCGGAGACCGATATGTCCTGAGTTCAAATCTCACGAGGTAGGATCGTTGATATATACTTCTGAGGAGTCCCACAATAGGATGAAACGGCCTTCCAATGCTTCCACGTTTTCCATAGTGGTCTAGCTTCAACTGACTTATGATCTCAAATATTAAAATTACTTTAATATCCACGGTAACCCCTCCTGATATATATATTTGTAAAATCGTATTACTAGATTTTTTGTATTACATGTAACTTTCATTTATCTAACCCAGTACTTATTCATAAAATTAACTATTAAATATTTATTTTTATGACACTTTTACACATAAATATAATCCTGATAAATATTGATTTCATTTCATACATCTTTTGTTCTTAGAGCTTGCTAACAAGTCATTTATACAATCATACAGTTTATTATGTCAGTGTAAGTATTAAGCAATTTTGTGAAGATCATCCATCATGTATAAAAACTCAAATAATTCACGAAATGATGAACATTATTGAGAATTCAGTTGATTTACAAGACAACATAAAGGTAATCATTTAAAATTGCTTTAATCACTGATACACTATTAATGTACAATGTTTTATCGGGTCTTTTATTATATGTTCTTTACTTTTGTTAATACTTTCATTATGTTTTTGATCCTGACGTAAATTTTATAACTGCCACTTAATAAAATCCTTGAAAAAAGTTCTTTGTTGATAATTAATGCACCAATTATCGTAGTAGTTGAACCCATGAGTCAATCGAAGCTAGACTATCACTGAAAACCTGAAAGCACTGGACTTCAGTTTCATCCTAGTATGGGATTCTTCAGCACTGTTCATCTACGGTCAAGCAAAACGAACTGTGAGAACCTTTGGTATCGCGAGTGAATGCTTAGCCTCTAGAACACTGAGTTAGCATCAAACGGTGATAATGTCTAGCCTCAGTTGATCCATGATTTTGTGCAGCCTTTCATCCATTGTCTGAAGTGGATAACTGTCTCCACCCGACACGGATAGCTTCAAGATGGATTTCCTAGAGTTATAGTGTGAAGCAATGACCTGTAGGGTTGTAGTAAACTGGTTTTCACTGAATGTGATCGACATACTACTTGGTGCTTTGATACTAATAACTGATTTGACATTGTTACAATAAAAGTAGTTTCGCTTAGGTAGTGAAGTGAACTATTATATTTACTACAATCTCCACAAATCCCCATGCTGATAACTTTAATTATCATCCCTTTTTATTATCAGTGTAAAATAATGATAAATATTATTATACAGTAATAATAGTAAGTAACCATATCGAATATAGAAAATTATCAAGATCCATGTTTTCATGCAGTTATAAACTGATGTGTCCATCATTATGGTGAAACTCACCTTCTTTGGTTAATTATTCAACGATTTCATTCTCGATTATCATTTATAAATACGTATTGTTAAAGAAAAAAATGTACAAAATTTGTTTAAATTATTCATCAAAAATACAAACATCACACCATTCATAATGAAAACATTCGTTTCACTTAATAATTAACACAATACTGAATAAATATGTTGCTAATAATAATTAATTTGTTACTTTTTCGATTACCCCCCCCCAAAAAAAACATAACAAAAGAGAGATAACATCTTTAGGGTAAAAATTTTATGTTTGTTTTAGTTAGCTATTTGAAGAAGAAATAATAATAATAATATTCAATCATATTACATATTGAAGTGGTTTGATTAGTTCGGAAATCAGATTATTATCTATACAATAATACATATGAATCATAATAAATGACATTCTAACATTGATTGAATAGTATACAGTTAGTTTTGTTGACAAGTTAAAAAACAAAAAAAAGAAACAAACAAAACAATAAACATTATGAAAGGAACTAAATTCATTTCATTTCATACCCTTTTACATCTTCAAAATATAAACTTGATTTTTCTATAAAAAAAAACAAGATTATTTTAAGGATATAATTTAATGTAACACTTTTTTTAATATTTGCCCAGGAAACAACAATATTTTACATAATTGTGTGTGTGTGATTTTCATTTTAATCTGTATTTGATTAATGTTTAACTAATAGGAGACTATTAGATAACTTTTGGAATTTCTCAATCAACTTTTGGTTAAAATTTGTTAATGACGTAACAAATTATTAATTTAATCTACATTATTCTGTATGAAATAAGCATCATTGTACAACTTTAGGAAAGAATATCGTAAAGAAAACTTTACTCTTAGAAGTTTTTTTTTCATCTTTTATGATGACGCTATAAGTTTGGAGATTTTTATTAGACAAAATCTTTATTTCATTCAGTATTGTATGTTTGAATCTTCCCATCGATGTGTTAGAACTGCAACTGGTCAGTCTCTAATTGGCATATGTGCATACTGTGCGTATTGCCTCTATATAGCCTCAATTCACAAGCATGGTAAGCAGAGATGGATACGCACAGTATGCACATATGCCAATTAGAGATTGACCAGTTGCAGTTCTAACACATCGATGGGAAGATTCAAACATACAATACTAAATGAATTTAAACTTCACCCCATCGCAGAAGCAAGTGGCCATAAGGACTCAGTGGCCGAGTGGATAACGCGATGGCGTTTGAAGCGAACGGTACTGGGTTCGAGTCCCAGAGTGAACATCAACTCTGAGATGCAGGTACATCCAGCTGACGAGTCCCAAATAGGACGAAACGACTGTCCTGGATTCTTCTGCTGGCCACTATCCATCTCTGCTTCAAATCTTTATTGTTGCTATCCGGACGAGAATAAATGGTTGGTAACTGTTAGGAATTACTTAGGGACTAATATTATACGAATATGACTATTAAGTAACTATATTATATGTATGTGTCATATTTCCTTTAGTTTAAGCGTTTGTTTGATCTATTGACTATTATCATACGATTTACTATTCTTGAAATAGTCCCAATTTATTAGTTAGAGTCTCTGACAAACAAAGCTACATTGGGCTAGATTTTGTATAAATGTTATTTTCTATTCGATGTTGTGATGTGGTCTGATTTGATTGTATGCAAACTTAGTATGCTTGAAATAAATAATTCATATCACGGGGTTTGAGACTAATGTTATTGACATAACAGGCAGGGCTAGGCGGAAAAAAACACCAATCGAAATTGTAGACTGCTTGTACAGGTGTATGTATACGTTATTAGTTTGGTCGTGATAATCGTATAAGGTGAAGACATAATACTTATGTTTTCAATGAAATTACTATTGACATTACAGATAAATATAATTGGAGATGGCTAGAGAGGGCTTACACCTTGAAACTTCACTCTCCCTATCAGGATTTGTTTGTAGTATGGTATAATTAGTTTGAAAATAATCAGAAGGTTAATATTTATACTAGTCACTTCATTATAAGCAAAGATGGATAGTGACTAGCAGTGGAATCCAGGACACGCCTTTCGTCCTATTCGGGACTCGTCAGCTGGATGTACTTGCATCTTATACTTGATGTTCACTCTGGAACGAAACGCGCGTCCTAGATTCTACTGACAGCCACTATCCATCTTTGCTAACAATGATTGTGAATTAGGGGTATATCGAGGCATTACGCACGGTATGCATATATGCCAATTAGAGATTGACCACTTGCAGTCCTAACACATTGATGGGAAGATTCAAACAAACGATACTAAATGAACTAGTCACTTCAGTCTATATTTTTTAGAAACCGCTTACTTAAAACATAACTTATTTTATTTTAATTTAAGAATTGTATGAAATTAAAAGTTCCTTCGAAATAATCTTTGAGATTTATATCCTATTTTAAATTGACTATTACCTTAAACATTCAATTAACGAAATTCCGAAATAAGAAAAACAAACAGTGAAAGCAATAAACTTTTATTATCTGACTTAAAAGTGTTTAAAGCTTAACTAGGTCCTAGTGGGCAGTTTAGTTTGAGAAAAACTATAATTACCGTTAATTAGTTACAATATAGTTTTAACATTAAATAAACATTTTATTGATATAATAATGATGATGTATTATGTAATTACTGAATTTGACCATTTTCCCGTTCATAAGATTTCATTCTAAAATTTAATTTACATAATGGGTACTTTGGTTTTCAGATATAGACTAAGAATTTATTTGCAATTTTCATTCCCATACATCAACCCCAAAGTATGCTGATATGTTCATAGAAGATCATTGTTGATAACCATAAATGTAATGAAGGGGTTATTCAAAATAATAACACATTAATATGTAACATTAAATGAAGGAGAAAATGCTTGAAGATGCTTTATTTAATGGAGTACATGAACACAGCAAACATAATGAATGACCTCAATTTTTAGACCTGATAACTAATTACTTAATTCATTATCATTCTTTTCACTGTTAATAGTTATTACTAGCAATTATAATGAAATGTTAAACTGACCCAGATACTAAGTCAGCTATACACTACATCTTAAATATTTCAACATCTACAAATACTGAACTAATTCTATGAATACATTTAAGGTTATATCCTATATATGGTATAGAGAACAAAAAAAATGCATTTCACTTTAAATTTTACAAAACATATTTTTATCTCATTTATTTACCAACAAAAATTTATACAGAAAAACATTCATTTTATGTGAAAAATTATATTTGAAATAGTCTTAGCGATTGAAATTTAGATAATTCCAACGTTTCGTCCATGTAACTTGTCTGAACTTCTTCAGAGAAATAATCAAAAATCAAAATCATCAAAGAAATATGTGGTGCTGTTTTTAACAATCATATCAAAATCTATACTACTTTAAACCAATCATTTTAAATGTTGAATTTATGTAAACAAGATGACATGAGTCAGTTGAATGAGAATCAAATCCAGACTTCTTTGGCAGCCAGTTTAAACATCTGGGCTACTTGTTCCTGTAATCCAAATATTTCAACAAGTTATCTAATTTCGTTTGTTTTAATATATCATTATGCCTATTAATCGCACAACATATTCAGGTGCGTTTCTGAATAGTGTACGACTTTTCGCTGCAAAAGTTATAGAAAGCCTAATTAAAGATATCGTGTTAGCTGGCAATATGCAGCGAAAAGAATGTACATTATCCAGATGTCGATTGACTGGGCTGCTAACTTCTAACTGGCGATCACTCAATATTTATCGTCAGGAAGGACGAAGAAGTAAGAAACGAAAACTTGTTGAAGTACTTTGTGCTGAGAATTCCGTATTGTACCAAAAATATTATATTGAATAAAGCTATTAATAATAAATGAGAAATAAAAATAACAAGTTAGCTGGACGAAACATTAGAATTATTTAAATTTCAATCGCTGAGACTATTTTTCATATATAATGACTTCTCTATACTTGGTTCCCAATTTTTGTAAAGCTATTCGTTCTAACCTTGACGAATATTCATAGAAAAAAATTTTTTTATTTTTAAAATTTTTTTATTATTTTTTTCATGATCAATATTAGTCATTGAAAACACTTGAGATTATTGAAAATATTGGTCAATTTTTATCATCACAAAAAATTATTAAAATTATAGAAAAAGATTTAATGGTTTATAATAATAGTGATAATAATTTACGATTATATGTTGGACAAATTATTGATCATTTTCCATGTGAGCCATATATAGATGTAAGTTTATTTTAATGATTAAAATTTTTATTTTTTATTTTCGTTCTGTTTTTATTTACACAATTTTTTTAAAAATTTCTGGTATCTTTTTATGTTATATAGGAGACAATGTTTTCATTGATGGTTATTTAATGTTGATTGTATTGATAACAGAATATATTTTTCAATTGAATTCTAGTGAATTCATTTTGTTCTATATTAGTAATTGGAAATATTCAATATTTGTCAATATGGAAGCTTTCATTCAATGAATGTTGATGATTTTCAAAGTGATTAGGTTAGAAATGGTGATATCTCTAGTTGGTATGTTGTTTTCAAGGAAGTAGGTGACGGACAAAAGTTTCCTGATCATCAATTATTTTCCACCGTATAATTACTTACGCCTGTCACCACTAGTGGAGAAGCATAGACCACTCACTAGCATTCTACATCGAATTCTGTTCTTGGCAATCCTTTCCAGCTCGTTCTAGTTAACATTCATCCTTTTCATATCTGCTTCTATTTTCCGGCGTAATGTGTTCTTAGGCCTTCCTCTTTCCCACTTCCCTTCCGGATTCCAAGTTAGAGATTGCCTCGTGATACAGTTTGGTGATTCCCTTAATGTATGTCAGATCCATTTCCACCGTCTTTTCCTAATTTTCTCTTCAGCTGGAAGCCGGTTTGATATTTGATTGTATAATTACTCAATGAAATTTTTTCTAACTTCTCAAACCATTTTTTTAAAAAGAATCCAAACCTATGAAGTGGTAATAATAATTCAATGGTTTCTGCTTCAAATAGTCTCAGAATTAAACGGCTTTAAAAGTTTATTATTAATGTTTTCAGTGTTATACATAACCTTTTCAGATATGACTCTGTATGGACAGGATTAAATGAGAATGATAATAACATTTTTATCTTTGGTGGTAAAATGTTGTGTTTCATGTATTCATCATATCACATTGTTTAGTCATGATAATTACTAAATTTCGTACAGAAATATGGTGAACTTGCAATGACTTCAATGCGTACTATTTTGTTAAAGCCTATATTAGTTTTTTGAATTTTTCGATTGATTAGTTTTTGAATATTTTCCATTGTTTTATGCCTTTGCTTTCTGATGATAATTATCTTGTGCTTATCAGTGACTAGCTTCAAGAGGTATTTCCTGGAGTTTTAGTGAGAAGCAGTGAACAGTGGAGTTCGACCGGATCTGTTGTGCGATAGTAACTCACTGAAGACAATGGTGGATATTTCGGTCAATTTTGTGGATTAGTTGAAGTTACTTATTAACACCGTTTGATGCCGACCGGTTCAGTGGTCCAGAGGTTAAGTGCTCTGGCGCGAGACTGGTAGGTATTGGGTTCTAATCTCGCAGGGTGGGACCGTGGATTTATATATACATACGTAACTGACATATTTTTTTTAAAGTGAAAATAGTGAAAATCTTGTTGAAATTCTGTAAGCTCATCATATTTCTTGTAGGTGTTTTGTTTAATTCTATAATTCACATACATTCAACATTATTATGTAAATATTATTTTCTGCAAGACAATCATTGAAAAATACATCAAAAGGAAGGTTAGTTATTTTTGACAAAATGTTTTTTGGAAAGTGAATTTATTTTTATTTTGTAAACAAAAAAGGCATGAAAACTTCAAAAGAAAAAGAAAACTATTCAGTCATACTAAGCAAAGACGGATAGTATCTAGCAGTGAAATCCAGGACACACGTTTCGTCCTACTCGATGGATGTACCTGCACCTCAGAGTTGATGTTCACTCTGTAACTCGAACCCAGTACCTTTCGCTTGAAACGCCAACGCATTATCCACTCAGCTACTGAGTCTTGATAGCCACTTGCTTGTGCAATACGGTGAACTTTGAATTCATTTAGTATTGTTATTCAGTCTTACTTTCAATTAAATTTCAATTTTTTTTCCTTTTCCTTTATTCTATTCATTTGACAAAAAACAAACAAAACAAAAAAATTGATCAGAATCATCTTTGGAGTATATTTTTAAATACGAATGAATCAAATGAATTAAGAATTACAATTTTCAATTCATTGATTAAATGTTTAACCCATGAAAAAATTTTGAAAATTTTGAAAATTTTAAATAAATCTTTAGATAATCAAGTAAGTTTAATTTTTTTATTTTAATAAAATTTTTTTGTTTTTTTATCAAAGTTGAAATATTTTTTTTCGTAAATGTTACGTTTATTTTCTATTTGGGAATATCTAAAATAAAACTAAAAAAAAGTTACCCAGTAATTAACAGAGAATGATTGTTCTGTTCTATAAAGCATTGATTATCATTAATATTCATTGTTTATTAACAGCCTCCTTTGTTGTTGTCTTTGTTGTTGTTGTCATGCGCAAAATCTGTAGCTTGAAGCTTTTGAATATAATTCTAAGTTGAAATCCTGAGTCAATTGAAGCTAGACCACCATCGAAAACCTGGAAGCACTGGACGGCCGTTTCGTTAATGTTAATGTCTAACACCGTTGGATGCCGGCTCAGTGGTCTATCGGTTAAGGGCTCTGGCTCGTAACTGGTGGGTCCTGGGTTCGAATCTCGTGAGTGCGGGATCGTGGGTGCGCACTGCTGAGGAGTCCCATAATAGGACGAAACGGCCGTCCAGTGCTTCCAGGTTTTCGATGGTGGTCTAGCTTCAATTGACTCATGATTTCAACTTAGAAATACACTGAAATTTCCATAAATCCCTTCTGATTTTGAATATAAATTAGTTTTGGAGATAAAAAAGCTGGGAGTTATTTAAGTTGGAAATAGACTTCCAAGTTTGGCAATAAATGTGATGCATATCATTATTTGAAAAAGCTTAATAAAAAAAATTATTTTACGAGTTAGTTTTCACATGAGACATTAAATGTCAGTGGTGTTGTGCATGTTTGAAATTGCTATTTATCCACTCATATATTTTATCATTCGAATATTGGATGATAGCATAAATTTAAATGTGACAAACCAGTAAAGTTAATAAATAACCCGTGACTTACACTTATTACATATGATTAATTGTATCTAAAATGTTTGTCGTAAGACTTCTAATTGAACGTTAGATTTGGTTCCTAAGCTTTTCTAGTAACCCCCAGGATAAATTTACACAGCGACATAAACATGAGAGAAAAGGCGTGAAATATGGGAGGAACACTTTATTCAAACGTTTATTTATGTACAAAAGATCTAGGGTTTTTAGACGGCCTTGAGTTTCTGGGAAATTCTGGAACGCTACTCAACATAGCAGCAGTATAAGTAATCATTAAATCAGAAACTTACTTTTTAGATATTTCTGGTAAAACTGTTGAATGATGATTGGATAAGATGCTTCTCAGAGTTTTCAATGCCTTTCTTGGCTTTTCTTGAGGATTTTTCTGGATATCTCCAACAGTTTTTCCATTTGAAAATATTCACTATCATTCTGATCAAGCACTACATATTTATTCTAAAGAGAATGAAGTTTGCAGCTATGAGAAGAATAACTACAATAATTTTGATAATCTGTAAACGTCTAGTATCGACTGTATTTTATAAAATATGCAGCTGAATGAGTTAACACATATTTTCTTCAGATCGTAAAATAAATATTAAATTTTGTATAAGGTAACTAGACAGGAATGGAATGAGTAAAGAATTTTTAATGAGTTTTATCACACATTTTGAATGACTACGGTGATAATCCTAAGGCAGTGACAGATAATTACTGGGGCAACAACACATATTAAAAGCATGGATAGGTAGTGGCTACTATTGGAATCCAGGACGAGCACCTCGTCCCATTTGGCACTCATCAACTGGACGTATCTGCATTCCAGAACAAGAACCTAGTACCGTTAGCTTCAAACGCCATCACGTTATTAACCTAGTTATTGAGTCCAAATAGCCATTAGATTGTGTAATACAAAAATGAATTAACAACATTTATTTTTTAGAATTTGTATAAAACATACATTCTTTTATGCTGGATAGTAAGTTTTCGGAGGAAAGTTGCACTTTCCTGATCGCTTTGTGATTTCTAACCTCGTTTACTCAAAAAACATTTATTTGTGTGACATGCCTGCACAAAGTTACGTCGGTATAGTTTCATAGCTATAGAATTCTTGAAAATTCATTGATACCTAAAAAGTTTTGCTTTGAGGTGATGTTACTTATTTTGCCTACTGAACATTAATCACTATCAACGTTCAAAACATAATCTTCATTTTGAAAATAATTTTTGACTTACTACATTTTCTAAAGGTACGCTGTGCAGACAAGCACTGAAATTTGTAAACATCCATTCCCTAAAACATTATTCTTTTAAGAATAGAAGTTCAAAATAGCTCATATATAACTTCTATGTCTATTAAAATTCATTCAGTCAACTAATTACACTTTTGAAGTATTCAAATAAATAGGATTTATTGGGCAATCATAATCTTCAGTAATAAATGAACTTGTTAATTTTAATAAAGAAACATGTGTTTAATAACTTTGTTTTCTTTATTTAATGAGATACATGTTTATCAATTATAAATGGAATAAGATGGCTAGTGGCTGTCAGTAGAATACAAGACTCGCGTTTCGTCCTGGTTGGGGCTCGTTAGCTGGATTTACCTGCATCTCAGAATAGATATTCACTCTGAGGCTCAACACAGTACCGTTTGCTTCAAACGCCATCGCGTTATCCACTCAGCTATTAAGTCCTGATAGCCAATTGCTTTTGCAATGGGGTGAAATTTAAATTCACTTTTTATTATTTGGTTAAATCTTCCTATTGATGTTAAGGACTGCAACTGGTCAGTCTCTAAGACTATATCAAGACAATACGCACAGTATGCACATATGCCAATTAGAGACTGACCAATTTCAGTCCTAAACATCAATGGGAAGATTCAAACAAACAATACTAAGTGAATAATTGGAATAGTTCATTTACATCAGTGAAATGCTGCAGATACCATTTACTTTATAATTGATACTGAATAATTGAATTAGTTGATTAGTTAATCATTACTGTGATATGAAATTAAACAATATGAAAAACAAACTGAAGATCAAATATACAGTGACATAATAATACAACATAGTATAGTTTTTCATGTAGATAAGTGAAAATTATTAGAATTATAACAATTAAACCAATAAACTTAATAAACTTTAATGTAAATCATTCGAATATTATAAAGTAAATGATAAATCGATTGTATATACCATAACGACGTGAAAAAATATATGCGAAAAACACTTTCGCCTTGAACATAGATATTGATTAATTCATAAAATGATCTTATCTTACTTTATTAAAACAACTTAATTATTCAAATCAATTATAATTAAAAAACATTATTCATCTAATATTATTTCTTGATATGAATGTGATTGTACAATGTTCAATATTCAAAGAGTTGATGAAACACTTGTTTTAAGTTATTTGAATTCAAAATTGAGAATGACCTAACATCATTGATACATCAACGAAATTCTGCGACGATCTTTTATTGTATAAGATAGATACTTGTCTCTTTCTTGTAAAGGATTAAGCTGCACTGGTCATGGTTTCTCACTAAAACTCTGAGCATTATCTCACGAGGCTAGTTACATATGAACACATGGTCATTACCAGTATAGAGTTGTTGATATTGTTAGGTTTTCATTGAGATCAACTGCTCAATAGTGACTAGCTTTGTGAGGTAATTCTCGGAGTTCTAGTGAGAAGCCATGACCAGTGGGGTTCAATCAGTTTTAAGGAGGTGACAGGTCTCAATCTCAGACAATAAAAGTTGGTCTCACAATTTTGTGGATTTTTTGAAGCAAGACATTCATACCGTTGAATGGCAGCTCAATGGTCCTGAGGATAAGCGTTCACATGCGTGAGTCCGGAAGTCTTGAGAAAGAATCCCGAGTGCGGAACTGTAGATGTGCGCTGCTGAGGAGTCCTATGCTAAGACGAGACGGCCATCAAGTGCTCCCAGGTTTTCAATGGTGTTCTAAAATCGATAGGTTTATGGTTTAAATTAAAAAAATATGTTGGGTAAAACAGAAGAATAGCGACTGCAGTATGTTGTATTGTGACTGTTGACTTGCAGAGAAGTATTTTTTGAAGGTTATTCTTTATCCATTTTTCATTCGTAAATAGTGTAGAAACTGTATATAATAAATGACGTTGAAATCGATAATTATTATAAGTCTGTGAAACAACGGATTAAATTCCGATCAGACTGAGTATTTTGATATCAAGGTGTTTGTTTACTTTAAGTTAATTTATTGCGATTGATTTAAGCTTTGTAGGAATTATCATTTCATCAGCAAAACAATTTAATATTACTAATTGTCCTGAATTTTAATAATTTGAAATGTTACAGTTCGGCTGTTAGGATTACCAATATGAAGTATGAAGTAAGTGAGCATCAGCTGATATGTTCATCTATTGTTAGAGAAAACTTTAAAACTATATTAATTGTGTATTCACTAAGTATTGTTTGTTTGGATCTTCCCATCGATGTGTTTAGGACTGCAACTGGTCAGTCTGTAATTGGCATATGTGCATACTGTGCGTATTGCCTCGATATACCTTAATTCACAAGCATGGTAAGCAGAGATGGATAGTGGCTAGCAGTGGAATCCAGGATGCGCGTTTCGTCCTATTTGGGACTCGTCAGCTGGATGTACCTGCATCTCAGAATTGATGTTCACTCTGGGACTCGAACCCAGTACCCTCGCTTCAAACGCCATCGCGTTATCCATTCGGCCACTGAGTCCTGATAGCCACTTGCTTGTGCGATGGGGTGAAGTTTGAATTCACTTAGTATTGTTTGTTTGGATCTTCCCATCGATGTGTTTAGGACTGCAACTGGTCAGTCTGTAATTGGCATATGTGCATACTGTGCGTATTGCCTCGATATACCTTAATTCACAAGCATGGTAAGCAGAGATGGATAGTGGCTAGCAGTGGAATCCAAGACGCGCGTTTCGTCCTATTTGGGACTCGTCAGCTGGATGTACCTGCATCTCAGAATTGATGTTCACTCTGGGACTCGAACCCAGTACCCTCGCTTCAAACGCCATCGCGTTATCCACTCGGCCACTGAGTCCTGATAGCCACTTGCTTGTGCGATGGGGTGAAGTTTGAATTCACT